ATGTGCCTGGAAGAGGTTCCACTGGGGCAGTTCTTGCCTTTAGAGCATGCACAAAGGTTCAGGATGCCTTAAAACACCCCTGATGCTCCTGCAGTGGAAAAGCAACACTCCACTGTGCTTGTTGCTTGAAAAACTCTCTGGAAATTGCAATTGAAAACAACACAGTAACCACCACACTGGCAGTACAACCATAGACTGTATAAAAGATGGACGTAGCTGCCGTGACGTCACCCGTTGGTTTCTGCACTGACAAAATGAAGCCAGGGTTTTGCTACTTCCTGGTTGACATCTTGGATTTTTGGAGCTAGTGACGCAAAAATCGTGGGAGGGGGGCGGAGCCATAGGAGCAGCGATTGGTCAGACGGATTGAGTGGCGGGTCCTCTCTGCCCGCCCACATTTACCGCCTTCTGCTCGCTTCGTCTGCATGGTCGCTGCCGACTGTCAATCAAGCCAGCCACGCCCCTTGCCCCGCAAAATGTTGACGATTTTTTAAAAATTCAGTGTTGATTTATTTTCAGATTGGCCACCTGATCTCTGGACTTGACCATGAAAACTAATAAGAAAAAAATCCTGAGCTGTAGGAATGCAGTATTTTGTGATCTGTGATCACTTCTTTTCCAATTCATTTCTATGGGAGCCAGGGCTTTTTGGAGCCAGCAGCTAGCTGACATAGTGATATTGCAGGTTTTTGACACTTCCGGGTTGGCTTCATTTTTCAGGGCCGGTTGCTACGTCCATCTTTTATACAGTCTATGAGTAAAACTAGTAACGCCACCACCTGTAGAGATGCTACTGATCGACACTGTAAAGTAGTCGGAGTGAGCAAAAGTAGATTTTTAGTTTGACCTTTTACTCTCCTGAATCTCTGCTACAACAACAATTAGACTGGAAGAAATCCAAAGGTTTCCTTTTACTGCTTGGACTTAACAAGAGCTTTTAAGAAGCAGCCAGTGTTTCATCTGTGGTGGTAATCTCACATTCATGCCAACATCAACAATGGCTTCTGCTCTTAGACCGCTTCTTAACAAGGAGGTCTGTAAACTGCATGCATGGTTAACACTCCAGTATGTGGTACTGCTCCAGGGAAGCCTTGAGCTTTTATATTTAAGGCAATTTTTCCTTTAATTTTAGACAATAAATAATAATAAGGCCCTTTAGGTAACTCTATCAGGCTGTAGTTGCACAATAATGTACAATTGTGTGAATAAATAATAAATCACAGTTCAGACTTTTGTGTGCAAATAAACCCAATTCCCAAAGGTGATGAAAGAGCAGACACAGCTTTTAATTTGTTTAAAGTGTTAATTGGGGGAAATGGGATCTCCATCTCTATATTTAACAGCTAAGTAAGACACACACTGTTAACCGGCTCGCAGCCACCACAAGCAGCGGCCTTCACCACCATCCAGTCAATGAAATGTTTAACAAGAAAATATGGCAGCTGAATGATTCTCTTTGTGGATAATTATAGAACATATGTCGGTCTGTGACCCACGCTGAGGGGCTGCAGTCATGTGTGCGTTTGTGTGTCTGTGGTGCACATGCTCAGCAGCAGCAGCAGTGGGATCGTAGTGGATTGTTGTTCGGTGAGCGGACGGTGAGGGAGACAGGAAAAGGGGAGGTGAGGGGGCTGGTTGCTGCCGTTTAGGTACAGAAAGTCATACTGAGGAGTCTTTGTCCGACACACACACACACTTCATGAAGAAACAGCCTTAGGTTTCAGGTTGGTCTCGACTTGGAGTTCGACCAAAACTTACGTTAAAAAGTGTCTCTGTTAGGACACATTTTAGTGATTTTTTTTTTTTATTGCACTTCCAAAATTCAGAAACCAGATTTACTGTTTTCTAGGTTGTCAGGTTTCAAAAATAAAATAAGTCCCCGATAGTTGCAGTTAATCACATGTTAATGCCCTTAAATGGAGCTTTGCCGTGTGTACCTGGTCGAATTCTTACCACCTAGATTTGATTTGCAGTGTGCATGTGTGGAAATTGTGATGCCAACATGTGGAAGAGTGTTCGTCCTGGCCTTTAGATTGTACACTTGCCCCAAGGGATATACCTTTTACATCTTTCAGTTTACCCAGCTTTTCTGTTTCCTCAGATTAAAACCTTAAAAACGTAGATCTTCTGACCCTTCATTGCTTTTACAACATGGTTACCTCCTTTCCTCTTTTTCTAGTCCCCTCAGACGTCCTTAGACATCACACCGACTACCACTGGCATCTGCTGCCATGTGAGAATGTGTGGAGTCGTTTTCAGGTCTTAAAATAATTCTTTGAAAATTGTCATCCTGTTGTCTGGCTCCTGTTTTGAACAGAACTCCATATTGGGCACTGTAAAGTGTACATGTGATTAAGGTTTAGGGTTTTGCAATAGTCTGAAAATGTAAATCTGTGTGAATCTGCCTACAATCGAATTAGTTGTGCTTTGGCCCAGCATCTTTTTTTTTTTTTTGTGAAGTAGTTTTTGGGATATCCAGCTCACTGGCAAACAAACAGGGCAAGAAAACAAATGGAAGTAACGCCACACTTATGACATTATACCACGTGGGAAAAGTGTTAGCTGTTTTTTGGCTCATTTGATGTAAAAAGGTGACGTTCCAAAATGATGAGGCCAAAACACGAACAGCTACCTTTTGTTTTTGTCTGGATCGCGGCCATGATGTACGGTTGTAACCACACAGCTGACTGTTGAAAGCATGAAAGCATGAATAATGTGCTCCAAATGTTGGGCTGACCTTCCAGTCGGTGTTGGGATGCTCCTGAAAACATGTGGATGAGACGGCAGGAGAAGAGAGAAAGTGGGCAAGCAGAGGGAGAGCGAGAGCCACGAGGAAAGGCAACGAGACAAACAGAGACACAAACAGAGAAAAGAGCCTTTGTGCTCTGCTACATCTGTTGACTCATGACTCAGACCTGAGTCGGTGAGGACCACAGGCTCTGGCTGCCGGTCAGGCCCTGATAAACCCTGAAGGACTGATCTCAGCGGACCTCCAGGGGCTTTCATGCTGTCAGTTTGAATTGACCGAGTGCCCTGAACATAAACACTCCTCAGACATTATCATTATCTGTGTGCTGCTGGTGGAGCTGACAGCCTACAGGGATCCTGACAGACATACAGGCAGATTAGGGACTCTGTGTGTGTTTACCCACAGCCTTCTATTAGCAGGAATTACCGCGCACCTTCTCCAGGTGTTTGCAGTCGAGTGTTTTACGACGGGGCAGGACTGGAATGTGCCACTGCAACACACGCCTGCCATGGACATTATTGGCACTTTACACACACACAAACACAGAGAGCAGGAATTTTCTGGTGTTCCTATACTCTCTAATCACTCAGGTGATTAGATTGAGCGCCTCACAGCGGATGGCAACAGATTTCTGCTGTTATGCAATGCTCAGAGTGGAAAACATGGAACCAGTGCTGCCAGGGTTTTAAAATATGTTCTCCTTGTCTCGTACAGGCCATGAGCATTTTCTTTTTATATGCATGGCAACACTGAGGAAAGTCACATTGGTTAAACCCTTCAAGAATTAACTGCTAAAAGTTTAAACTTCAGTCCCTCCATAGACAATATATAAAAGATAAATGCAAATGTGGCGCCACTTATTGGTTTGTGGACGGAAAGTTTGGAATTTGTTTTTTTGGATGTGACGGAGAACTTGAGGACAGTACGCACACCTGTATAGTTGTGACTTGGTCCACCCTAAAAACAGCGGTCCCCAACCACTGGGCTGTGGACTGGTACCGGGCCTTGGGTCATTTGGTACCAGGCTGCACAGAAAGAAAGAAAAAAGTTTTCTTGTTTGATTTTTATTTCCAGCGCAGTCTACAGGGTGTTTTATTTTGAAAAAGTACTAGACCGTCTTCTTCCCGTCACTTCTGTCTGTGCCTGTGTCCCGCACTTTGATTTTTCTAAACAAAGCCGTCAGTCTGAAAAACCAAATATATCTGGAGAGCTTCTTTGGAAAGTGGGAGAGACTCAATGCTGAGACAGAAGGAAAAATAAACACATATTTAGCAAGTAATTTTATTCGTTTGTGAAACTTTTTAATAGAAAAAAATACTATTTTTTGTTATGTGTGCAATGACTGGTCTGTAGAAAATTTTCTTGCGTAAAACCGGTCCGCAGTGCAAAAGAGGTTGGGGACCAATGCCCTAAAACATACCCCGCTTTATCGTCCATTATCCTCTAAATGGGCACAAATTTAAGTAAATGAGCACCAGGATGTATTGAAGAAGACTCAAAACTAAGCATTGAGACCATAAACTCACAAGGAAAATGTTTACTGAGATACTAAATCAAGTAAGAAGTGGGAGCAGTTTCTCATAGACTTCTATATGATCACACATCTTTTTGCAACCAGAGGCATCGCCCCCTGCTGGCTGTTGGAAAGAATGCATGTTTAACACACTTCTGCATGTTAGACACAGTGGCAATGTTTATCTTTTATGTAGTTAATTAAGTCCAAATTAAATGACAAAGCATTTTAAGTACCTCCCAAAACTATCCTCTAATCTGACACTAATACTGGTCAGATATGATTAGGTTTATGCAAAAACAACAACAACAAACAAATCGTAGGTAAAAATCGTGGTTTAGCTACTTGGTTGTGTTTAACTATTGTGTGGTTGTGTTTTTTGGGTCAAAGTTTAGTGATTTATTGACTAGCCCACAACAACAGACATTTTCCAAGTTGTCTCTCCGTGGTTGTTCTGTTTCCATAGAGGTCCAGGACTTTATGTTGCAGTAAAAAATGAGGCCACAGTCAGTAAAAACCGCGACAAGAGCAGTTACCAGTTACTGCTGGAGTTCAGAAGGTTAATAAAATATCACCTTTCCACCTGGTGTGCGTCTCCTTTTTCACCTGGAGGTCTTGAATTCTTTTCACTAAATAACAGCAAACATGTCATGAAGTGGGTACAAATCTGTGTCTTGCTTTCTGTTTTCTGTCCGACTCACTCACCACCTCTTGTCTTCACAGTTTGATCCAGTTCCAGACCCGCCTGCTAGATCGGTATCATCAGGATGAAGATGAGACAGCTCAGAGCGCTGTGTGGCTTCATTCTGCTCAGCCTGGCTGTTCTCACCAACGCCAGGCCAAAAGCAGGTCAGTCTGCAGATACTGTGAGAAAATTACAGGAAAAAAAAAAAAAGAAAGACAGAGTTTTTCATTACTTTGATCCTAAAAGTCCCAAATAAGGGATGTGTGCTTTCTTTGAAGGAATGTCATGAAACTGAGCGTGCCATATTAGTGATTAAGGTTGTGAGAACAGAGTGTTGCACCCTGACTGATCACAGAAATGAACTTTATTCCTTTTTTTCATATGGAAGCTGGGTACATATTTGTATTCCTAAATGTCATAATGGTTAAGAACGAGAAATATAATGTAAATATAAACTTCCCCTGAAGGTGACCCTCCTGTCTTTAACGCTATTCAGGACTTTTGGACCATTTTTGGACCATTTAGTTTAGGTGACAGGTATTGTTTTTTCATTTTTGAAGATTTGAAGATTTAGAAGATTAACATAGTACAAAAGTCTGTAATGAAAATATTTTTGACATATTCCTCCTTGGGGGTCTAATGGACTCCGAAAGACCTTCTATGTATGGCAACATGAAAGTCCTGGACAGGGTTAAGTGGTGAATGGTGTCACCACAGGTTGCTAAACATGACTCACAATCATGCGAGTCAGTTGACTTCACCTAAAAGGCACGGAACATATAAGACCTATACTTTTGGATGTAGTTCACATTATACCTGCAGCTGACTTGATTTACATGGTGAGACAATGACATGTTTATAAGATGTTAAAAACCAGGCATTGCTCATGAGATGGATTCCACAGCAGCTCCAGCTCATACTGACACTGAGTCTCTGCTGCTGAGACGACCGGCTTAAGTTCAGCCTTTGTGAAGAAATTCTGGATGCGCATTAATCAAACAGTTCCTCTGAAAGCCATAAAGCTGCGCCACAAGCACAGGCTCACCTCATACCTCAGTGTTTTTCAACCAAGATGATGTTACAACATGGGAGCGCGTCTGACAAATTTAAAGACAAAAACAGGTGCCCGGTGGCAGCTGCAGCTGTGGAGCAGCAAGTTCAGGTGGTAAAGTTATACTCGTGTGTGAAGAAGGCCTCTGCTGCTGCCTTGTTTGAGAGGTGTTGAACTAAAAAAACCCTGGTGACAAAGTCGTTCAACAATCCACAGAGGCAGCTTATCTTTTATTGTATACACTTTATTCACATGTGCAGCTGTCGTATCATTTCCAAATCATGGCGTCCAGAAATACACTTTTCTACTACAGTTACTGCAACTATTTAGTGCTCTGAACTCTAAGCAGTTTATTTCTCCTGTCACATTTTTCTCACTGTGGGCTCATTTTTCACTGAGTTATAAAGTCCTGTGCCTCTATGACGCAGCACAACCATGGCTAGAAGCAGAGAGAACTTAGCGCAGTTACTTCAGTTATTTAAAAAAAACACACAAAACCCAAACTTGGCATCAATACTTAAAACATTTTATCAATGCTAGAAAGAAAGGTATCTTCACATGCTAAAGATATTTTCCTATCTACATTCTTACAGCCGTGATGAACTTGTTTTTCACACCACTCTGCACATCATGTCTATAAAGATATTTCACCATGCTGAATGTATCTGCATTTATTTTATTGATTGCTCATTGTGCATATCGTTTTCATGCATTCATCACTTTAATGTTACAGCAGGTAAAAGTAAAGCTGATTTTATTCACTTTGTGCTGGTGGGTAGTTTATCCTATATTAACGCATCCTCATTTGTTAGTTACTGTACTTTTAAAAAAAATTAATAATCCTAATTTAAATGGTGATTAATGCTGTTAAATAAATATAGTACAGTATTTGCCTCTCAAATGTCGCATAACTTCAGTAAATGTACTTGGTTTCCACCACTGCTGGGGATCATTTGTGTATTTTACTGTGTTGTACTTGGACATATCACTTAGAAAAAGGCATTAATTACCAAAACATTCAAGATCAAACTGTGAAAGATCTTTAACCCTATTCAGGACCTTTGGGGTCTTTTGGACCCCAGGCCATTTGGTTTAGGTGACAGGTATTGGTTTTTATTTTTAAAAAGAATGACATTTGTCATGCATTTGGAACCAAAAAATACATCAACTTATCAGAAAATGTATTTAACATAGTATTAAAATCTATAATGAATACCATCAAATATTTTGCACATTTTCTTTCTTGGGGTCCAGTGGACCCCGAAACACCTTCTACGTATGGCAACATGAAGTTCTGGATAGGGTTAAAGTTTTCTTCCACATCTGTCGTCTCCTCATAAGATCAGATGAAACTTTTCCTCCACCACTCTGCCATTTCTTTTGCCATCATTTACATATTCGTGTCTAAAATATTTTTCCCTGTTTTCACCACGTTCCAGGTCCTGAACAAAAATGTAAGTCCGGCCCAGTAGATCTGGTCTTCCTCATCGACAGCTCTCGCAGCGTGAGGCCGCATGAGTTTGAGACCATGAGGAAGTTTATGATTGACATCCTGAACACTCTGGACATTGGACTCAATGCCACCAGAGTGGGAGTCGTTCAGTACTCCAGCCAGGTACTGTAGGCGCTCAGCATCTTGGCCGTCTCTCATGACTCATTTTTGTCACTTCTCTCATCCATAGTGCTTTTGTTTTACTCTTTCTTGTACGTATTTTGTTCAGAGTTTGTGAGTAAAATATGCGTACGTATAAAATGTTCAGTTCTAATCAGAACTCTTAAGGCAGCATGTGAGGAGTAAACACAAGTCATGGACTGGAGTCTCCCGTCTCAGTGTCATTTCTATCGTCCTTTCACTTCAGGTTCGCAGTGAGTTCTCTCTGAAGGCCCATGCCAAGCTGGAGAGCATGGTGAAGGGCATCAACCAGATCATCCCTCTTGCTCAGGGAACCATGACTGGGCTCGCCATCAAATATGTGATGACTGAAGCTTTTACAGCCGAGGCGGGAGACAGGCCAAAGGTACTGCAGGACTTACAACACGTCCCACAGCCGCTGAAACAACATGTTTGTGATTCATTGTCTCAAAGAGCAGATGTCATGCATTTTGACTTTTCCCCTTCCTACAGTATTTTACAAAGCTGCTTCTCCGTGCATGTAAAAGTTCTGCTAACTTACAAAACCCAAAGTCTTTGCCAAAAGTAGTTACTTTCTCCCACAGAAAACACTGCTCCCAACCAGCCTGAAAACTTTTGTTTGTAGTCCTGGCTTTTGTTGCACATTTGCAAAACACCTGTCTGGCAGCAAAGTGGGCACGTCTTCATGCAAAGAGTAGCTACGTGGCATTATATAAACACTGGAGCTGCTTTGCTTGAGCTACATCTCGATGCCTACGCTCATAGATCGGAGGTTACCAGATCAGGTCAGCTGAATAATCAGAGCAGACGGGGATTCTTGGAAAACATGCCTTAAAGACACAGAAGCTAAAATGGAGCGTTTCAGACAGCAGAGGTGGTGTAGCAAGAGGAACCAGTCTATTTTCTAACATGAAAACATAATCTAGTAGACTCCTAAAGTGAAATATAGTAACCTGTAAATGTGAACAATATGGGCTCGTTTAACCTGTTTTTCATTTTTATGCATGATTTCTCATTTTTAAGCTTTTCTGACATCTCTCAGCAACATCTGTTTAAACACAGAGCTCAGTTTTATAGGATTTGTCGTAGTTTTATGACCTAGACATCTCACAGTTCCTCTCCAGTCTTTGATCAAACCCTTAAAAACGTCTGTCCTGCATCACCTTGGCTCTGATCCGGAGTTTTTCTGCCCGTCCAGGTCCCCAACGTGGCCGTGATTGTGACAGACGGACGTCCCCAGGACCGTGTGGCGGAGGTGGCAGCCGAGGCCAGAGAGAAAGGCATCGAGATCTACGCTGTGGGAGTGGCCAGAGCCGACATGACGTCACTGAGGGCCATGGCTTCCCCGCCGTTCGAAGACCACGTCTTCCTCGTCGAGTCCTTCGACCTCATTCACCAGTTTGGACTGCAGTTCCAGGACAAACTCTGTGGTAAGACTGCTGAAGTCTGTAAAAAGGATATATTTAGAATTTCATTATTGTATTTGCCAAAAAAAAGAAGGTTTAGAGATTTGTGTGAGTAAAGAATACAAGAAACCACACAAAATTAAATAATTTTACTGGAATCTGAAAACTTAAAAGCCTCACCTACCGAAGACCACATTAAACACAGATGAAAAAACAAAGCTCATAAAACACCGGACCCATGAGAGTAGTCATTCTTTATAGATTTGACATCATGTTTCTATAAAATCCCCATCTGAAACTGGCCCTTCATATTTTATGCCTCGAATGGATTACGTCTATTTGAAGTCGCCTTAACATAAGACGAGTAAAACGCAGCGACCAAATCTCTGGAATGGAAATTTCACGCATTTGGTTCCATTTGGAGGCAACGCTACATTTTTAATGTAATTAAAAACGCTTTGGATGCGAAGACTGAATTTTTAAAAAAAATCTCCATGCCCATCTAACCCCACAGAACCTAATACGCTTTCATAACAGCCTCCTCAAATCCCTTAAGTGCAAGATATTTCCTCATGCTGCTGTTATTCTAGGCTGAACTGCTGCTCTTAAAAAGTTCTTGCTTTCATCAGCAGGAGATGGAAAAACCAGAAAAAACAAAGTACAGTCGTGACTCGATAATCCGACCCTTAACAATCCTAAACCTTGCTATTCAACAGGTTTTTAAGAAAAACAAACGGAAACCATTAAAAACAGCCTTAACATACCGACAGCCTTGGATTCCGACTCCAACATGACATTTAATGTCACCAATAAGGACAACAGCGTATTATCTGACTGAACAATCCCACAGATTGACTACGTTCACACTGCAGGACTTAATGCTCAATGAGGATTTATTTGTGAAATCCGATTTTTTTGTGAGTTCGTTCACATTTCCAGTTAAATGCGACTTGTATGTGATCTGCTGTGAACTTCATACGACCCAAAAGTGTCCCGCATGCACAGAAGAGGACACGATGACGTCACACGCAGCGAGCGTGCTCAGTGTTTATGGAAGTAAACATGGATGGTAACAGATGGATGGAGCGCATCTTGCCTGCCATTCCCTCGCCCCGCCGCCGCCGCTGCCACGGATGGTGGAAACAGAAGTGTGACCGCTAACTAAACTGGCATCAGCAGCCAAATACTGCCTGTGTGTTCCGGCCACTTCCATCCCGGGGGTGCGCTCCAACAGGGTGGAAGTGGCCGGAACGTGTACAATCACACCGGTCAATTGGGCTGAAATCCAGCGATGTGTAGTGTTCTAACAATACACTAGTTACTGTAACAACTATGAACAATAAATATTAAACACAAATGAGCCTTCCAGCATCAAGCCCTCCTTGTATCTCGACCTCTGTCTTGACAATTCGACAGCCTTGCTATCCGATATAAAATGTATTACGTTTAGCGTCGGATTGTCGAATCACGACTGTATAAGAAATGCAAATTAGGCCAATTAAGCAATCAATTAGACATATAACGTGTAGCTAACATGTGATGAGGGTGAACATGAAGACAGCCCAGTTTAACACCTGATAGTAATATATGACTCCACTGTACCTCGATGAGACACGGATCTTGACAAGATGTTTTGCTGCTGGTGCATTAAGCTTAAGTAAAACTATAAAATGTGTTGTTATTGCTATTATTATGATTACAGAGCCTCTGAAAAGTATTCACTCCAATTGGAAGTTTTCTCTTTTCCAACGCTTTCCAGCCTTGAATCATGGTTGATTTAAAGAATTTACAAAACAAGACTCTTTAATGCCAAGTTAAAAACAGATTTCTACAAAGGAATGTGAATTATTTAGAATATAAAGTGTAAAATAAGTGATTGCAGAAGCATTCACCTCCTTTAAAGTGACTCATCAAATTCAACACCTCGTGGTTTTAGAGCTCTCACAGTTAATGAAATGGAAATCACTTGAATGCAGTAAATGTGTTTGAACTAGCTGTAGTACAAAGACACCTGCATGTGGAAGCTCCAGTTACTGGTGAATCACAAACATACCATCCCCACCATGAAGCACGGTGGTGGCAGCATCATGATGTGAGGATTCTTCCCAGCAGCAGGTCCTGAAAGGCTTGTAAAAGTAAAAGGATGAAATGAATGTGGCAACGGAAAGGGAAATCCTACCAGACCACCTGATGCAGTCTGCAAGAGAACTGAGACTTAGGAGAAGATTTGTTTTCCAGGAAGCCAATGACCTAAAGAAAACTGTAATCGCAGCCAAAGGTACTTCTACTAAACACTGACCTGAAGGGGTTAAATACTCATTATCTTACATTTTATATTTTCAAGTAATTGACATTACATTGTAGAAATCTGTTTTCAATTAAATATACAAGTTTTTTTTCCTCCATAAATTAAATTACCTCGATTCAAAAAGAATAAAAGAGGCTGACTTTGAACCACAGCCAACTATTTTGAGAACTCATTCAATTAAAAATGTTTAAATTATCTGATTTCAGCTTCTTTAATCTGAATATTTTCTGGTTTATTTACTCCTATGACAAGAAATATTTTGAGCTGTTGGCTGTATGAAGACCTCATTTAGGGCAACAGTCTGGGAAACAATAATCGAGACCAAACAACTAATCAGTTGACTGAGAAAATAATCAAAAGACTGATTGTTTGTTGCAGCACGAGCAGTGGACTCTTTTCCTGCTATTTTCTAATAGTTGAATAAAAAAATCCTGATCAAAAATGTAATGGAAATATGATTTTAAATGACTAATATAACTTTTTATTTTGCTGTTGTTGAGACTGGTAATGAGCGTTGAGTTATACTATTATTTATGTATTATATTATAGCAGAAGTGTTACCATGGATGCTCTCACCTGTGCTGTAGGAATGGACCTGTGTCTGGAGTCGGACCACGGCTGCGAGCACATCTGTGAGAGCTCCCCAGGCTCCTACCACTGTCTCTGTCTGCCTGGATACACTTTGAATGAGGACGGAAAAACATGCGCAGGTAACAAACGAATGACCAAAGTCAAGCCTCAAGAGGGACCATAAAAATGGAAACACTTTCATGGGAAAACACATGGAATTTGTTGCTGCTGAGGACAATACTGACCTGGTGTTCCATTCACTCAGTGGAGGAAAAAGGGGCTTAAATACTACAGAAAACCAGATGAAAGATGTTTGCAAAATGTGATACCATTTGTTCAATTGCTGATAACTCCAAATCTTGCATGTGTGCTTTAGCCATAGATCTGTGCGCTGAAGGAAAACACGACTGCGAACAAATCTGCATCAGCTCCCCCGGTTCCTTCACCTGCGACTGCAACAAAGGATACAAACTGAACGACGACAAGAAGACCTGCTCAAGTTAGTGTCACATGCACACACACACAGAGGCTGACTGAGATAATATAATGTTTTACATTAGCCGCTGATTTCTCTTGGCATTATATTGATTGAAGTGCAGTTGGCTTGAATTCATGTCATGTTCATTCATGCTGCGATGGATTCATCTGCTGCTTCGTGAAGCTGAGTGTGGGTTTGCATTACGTTCCTCCGTCTGCAGTTTGTCACAACAACAGGGTTAATTGGACATGCAGAGGTTTTATTTTTAAGGTTACCCTGCATGTAAAATGATGAAATACTACATAAACTCCATGAAACACTAAAGTCAATATAGCTTGGCTGCTGAAATATTCTATCAGTCTTTGAACAAAAATAAACTAAATTCATTGTTAAGTTCTCTAAGACGCTGTTTACGTTTGGTTTAACCCTATTCAGGACTTTTGGGTTCTTTTGGACCCCAGGCCATTTGGTTTAGGTGACAGGTATTGCTTTTATTTTTGAAGATTTTTTTAAATATTAAAAGAGAGACATTTGTCATGCATTTGGAACCAAAACTACGCCAACTTATCAGAAAATGTATTTAACATCAAATAAAGGTCTATAATGAATACCAACAAGTATTTTGCACATATTCTTTCTTGGGGTCCGATGAAACCCGAAAGACCTTCTACATATGGAAACACGAAAGTCCTGAATAGGGTTGAAATGCATATTGTTGCAGTCAGATCACAAGTAACCTGAAAACAAGTGTCAACAACCAGCAAGGCGCACTGACCCAGCTGACCTCTGCCGCTGAAAAATGAAGCCAATCTGGAAATGCCAAACACTGCAGTTCATCACAACACCACTTGAGGTTGGCTCCAAAAGCAAGTCAGTGCTCACAGATCCACATGTTTAAAGAAGAACAAAGAGTCAAGTGTTGTCTTCATGACCAGTTTCTCACCAGTTTGTGAAATATATGACTGGAAAATTAATAAACAATGATGACATAATTTTACAAACACTAAAATATATCTATATGCAATGCAGCATATTGATATCAGATTTGTCTCCAACCTCTAATCTGTGTCAGCCACAAACATCCAGTTTTGGTCAGACTGGTTTGGGATCACTGAATTTAAAATCAAATGTAAACAGTGTTTAAGACTGGAGCTACAGACACATAGTCGAGATCTCCAACGTACGACTGACTGTGAGCCAAAAGGAACATAAATGCAATCCCACACATGTTGCTGCTGGTCGCTCTGCTGCTTATGGCCTCGCTGCTTTCCTCCCCTCAGTGATCGACTACTGTTCGTTTGGGAACCACAGTTGCGATCATGAGTGTGTGAGTGTGCTCAATGGCTATCACTGCCGCTGTAACGAAGGATACAGGCTGCTGGACGACGGCAAAACCTGCCAGGGTACGTAGCACAAACATGAGACAGATACAAACACAAGCATGATGTCCACTGGTGTCATCACGGAGGTGAGGATCAGACTGTTATCAACCTGCATAACTGAGTCACTAACACACATAAGTAGTTGGATAATTTAACCTTCTCCCAAATGTATCTGTGGAATATGGAACCACCGGCTAGTTTTAACATTATGTAGGGCCACTGGAGGGAAACCAACCTACTAAATGATGCATTTTTGTGGTGGCTACTGGTCTATACTGTCTCCCACCACAAGCTGGAGATCGTGTAGCTGTGGTGGAACGAGTCTGTTAAAACTCAACGAGTCCACTATTATAGTATTATGTTACGCTGGCAGTCCTTTTCTTCATGCAAATCATAAACAAAGTTTTGCTGAGATCTGTAGAAGCTGCAGCATTTTCTGTTAAATAAAAAGCAACTCACCCAATGCGTGTAAATCTGACATCATAATGGCAATTACAATGACATTACTCTTACTTTTAAATACATTTAAAACCTTTCTTTTCACCATATTATCACTGAACCTAAGCAGGAATGCAAGAATGGTTGTGTCAATATGGAAAAACAGAGACGTAGAGCAGAAGGCCTGGAACACCAGACCACTTCATATCGTAGTGTTCTTTCATCTAAATGTATTATTTTCTTGCACCAGGGCAGCTTGAAGGTCTTATAATATGGAAACTTTCCAGAGAAAACAAGGAAAACGAAGCAGATTAATGAGGCAGAAAGCATGAGCATTTTGTTGCTGTGGTTTAGCGCCGGCATCGTTTGTTAAAAATCATACACACCAGATTCTGATCATGTTTTTTGTAGGAATCTGTACAACCCTAGGATACAAGAACGGATATTTACTCTGCTTTCAAGTCCTCTAGTATCAAAGGTCTTTATAATTATGGGGAAGAAAATGTTTATGTAGCAACGAGAACATTTTTATAGCTGCACACACGCCCGATGCATATTCACCAAGAAGCATGTTGAACGCATGGGAATGCAAGCGATGACAAAGCAACCAACATGTTTGCACATATTCACGCATGCAGAGATGTCTCTGACGCCGCCACGCAGCAACATCTGCAGTGCAGGCTCCTGTCGACACAAAACTGTGAAATTAAGACAATTTACAACCTTTGGGGAATCAAAGACTGGCTGTTGCCTTGAAGCCATTCGACTCTTCAAAGCAGGAGTAATACACCGTGTAATTGTGATGTCTGTTGATCCAAATACCACAGCAGCTTTGTGTAAAGTTGTTTTTTATGACACTTTGGCAGCTGTTAAAAGCACCTGATTAGTAACTTACATGTGAATATATTAGGATGTCAGACAGACAGAGAGTCAGAGTGAATATTATTCTGGATTAGGAATGATAATGTCACAGATTCCTTTTAATAAACCGTCTCATAGTTTTGGGTCAATGGATATTTTCCACCATTTCCAGGAAATGCTGTTTGGCATTTAAACCACATATTTTATCCTCTCATGTCTTGTCGCAACCTAAAATACTCCTTGGTTCAGATTATAAGTGTTTTCAGAAAAAATAAAATTAAAAATACACGCGCGCACACACTTTAACTCAATGTGTGTGTGTGTGTGTGTTGTTTAGCCATTGACCTGTGCGCTGAGGGGAAACATGACTGTGAGCAAATCTGTGTCAGCGCGCCGGGCGTCTTCACCTGCGACTGCAACGAAGGATACACACTCAATGAAGACAAGAAGACCTGCACACGTTAGTCAGGCTACTCGCACGAATACACACCGGTGCACACACACACACACCAACAAACACACAGCGAAAGGAGCATCTGTTCGACAAAGGAGTGCAGCTCATTGTTTCTCCTTCATGTCCGCCTCTTAAGTAAGAACATGAAATCTATAATAATATATCATGTGACCAAAACTCAATATATGACATCTCTTTTTATATTCTGAAAATTAACGAACAAAATACACCTCCAACTGCTGCCTGTAACCAAGTGTTAGTGGAATAGTGCTTCCTGTGCTTTCTTAAACAATGACTAAATGATCCTCTGGCTTCACCTGCGCTTTTAGAACCACAAACACACAAAGAAACAACCGCATACAATGTTCTGCTTTAATTACACAAGAGAACTAACTTGGTGTGTGTGTGTGTTTGTGTTGCTCAGCCATTGACCTGTGTGCTGAGGGAAAGCATGACTGTGAACAGATCTGCATCAGCGCGCCGGGCGTCTTCACTTGCGACTGCAACAAAGGATTCAAACTCAACAAGGATAAGAAGACCTGCACGAGTCAGTGACTTCAACTAGGAGCATTTTTTAGAACAAACTTCTTCTTCTTCTTCTTCTCATCTTGTGTTTTCTTTATTGTATCCCTCACAGCGAGAACACAATCTTTCTTCACTGAATGTTTTCTATAACCAACGCTGAAAAAAAGTTTTGAAAGTCTTGTCACCAAGCTCAAACAGGACCGTCTACACGTCTATGTTTGCATCCAGTAGCCATAGAGTGCCTATAAAAACATTCACCACTTTTAAAGTTTTCCCTTTTTTAAAAAATTGATTTTCAACTTTGAATCATGGTCGGTTTTATTTAGCTTTTCTGACAGGAACTACTAAAGTAAAACAGCATTCACCTCCTTCTAGTCACTGTTTCATACACATGTTTTGTCACAATTAGTACTATATGGCAGTACTATCACAAAACTGTACTTAGATTATTAAACTCAATTAGTAAAAACCTCCTCTGTGACTCTCTATGGTATTATAAATGACATGTTGTTGTAGTTGTCTAAGGAGGAGCTGCAACTCCTGATTACTTTCTTCATGGATGAATCTGTTGATTATGTCCTCCGTTAATCATCTGATTTTACTTCGTAGAAAATAGTGAGCAATGTTGTCACACGGGCTGTAAGTGATAGCAGTCAGTTGGCTGGTGATGAACTGAGTACTCAGTGTACCTGCATAAACTGCTGAGTCGGTTAGTTTGATGCTTTATTTGCCAAAATCCTGATGTGTGAAATAACAAGTAACGACAGGTGCCAGATAAATGTAGTGAAGTAAAAGTGAGATATAGTCAAGTGGAAGTAGAAAGTGTCATAAAAGGCACAAGTACGGTTGTTCAGTGATTCCTCCTAGTTGCCTTCCACCTCTGCCTGTATAAGCGTTAACTGTGTCTATTGATTGTGTGTTTGCAGACATGGACCTGTGCAACACAGTGGAGCACGGCTGTGAGCACCAGTGTGTGAGCACTCCAGGATCCTATTACTGCATCTGTCCTGAGGGACAACTGCTGCAGGAGGACGGCAAGAGCTGCGGCAGTAAGTCGACTCTCTGACATGCCGGCTCGTCTGTGAAAATACAAAATCGCTGAACCTGTCTGAGCAGTTGTTGAGCTACGAACTCGTCAGTGAGGAAAGCACAAGACAGTTCTACCTCTGACCTTTCTAAATGACTGAAAAGCACAACTTCATCCGTGAGCTCAGTTTGATGACACTCACCACTGCAGGAGGGTTCAGAACCTGTGGATCCTGTGGGACCCAACAGAAACGTCGAAGGTGCAGGATACAGGTGATGTAGGCTGCAGCAGGAAGTCAGCATCATCCCGTTATTGATAGATCATCCTAAAAAAGATAAATACAGAAAACAATCTGATATAAACCCAGGTGTTGTGAAAAACTTTCTGCTCTGGTATATATTCAGCCAAAACCTCAGAAATGTGTTGTGTCTCTGTCCAGAAGTCATTTCAGTGACACCTCGACAGGTTGTGATCAGGTGTGCACCGCTGAAGGGAAAAACCCCCGAGAGCTGAGACTAGAGTAGGAGTAAGACGAGAGCAGAGGTTGTGTCTCAAGAAATGAAATGAAGATGTATGAGAGAATGAACCAGATCCTCCGTCCACCTCTTGATGTTAAAAGCAGCTTCAGTTATGTCTGGGAGAAACTGGCAGGCCAGCGATGAAGATCTTCTTCTGAATTTTCTTTTCCTCGGGGGAGAATGAGATAAATCTAGAGAGCCTGCCAGTAACCGTCACACACTCTCCCATACAGAGTTTTGGGGCAGAAGAGAAAGTCTCATTAATCATCCTTTTCAAGATTTATTCTTTAAGAGCACTGCTGCAGACAGATGCTATGACGACTCTAATAGCAACCAGACAACCAAACCGCGAAACATCGAGCTCGGGTTCATTTCTCTGAATACGTGGGTTAAACTGATCGACCTGCTGATACTAAATATGTGAACCTGGTTTTCAAATAAATGGATAATCGATACTAAAGAGGTACAAGCATGTTGGTATTAACATCCATAGTGGATGAAGTCAAGTCAAATCAGGAAGTCACAGTATCCAAGCATGTGACGTTATCAGGCAAGACTTTCTGAAAGCATTCACTGCCTTCTGTACGTCGTCAGCCTTCATTCTCAGGATGTCTTGTATCCGTCTCTCCTTCAGCCTGCAAGTCGGCCAACATTGACCTGGTGCTTCTGATCGACGGCTCCAAGAGTGTCAGGCCACAGAACTTTGAGCTTGTCAAGAAGTTTGTGAACCAGGTACGGCACGGTTTCCTGCACGTGTGTGATATCCACTTAAAAAAAACTAAAACTAATGATATCAGATTTAAATTTGTTCAAGAATAACCTATCAGGGCTGTAAACTCCAGACTGACCGGTCGGTTAGCTGGCTGATATGCTCTCATCCGACCAAATTCTAGTTGGTTTGAAAATCAGTGGTGTTGTTTCAATCAGCAGAAAAGTGTTAATACAAAAGTCTTCCTTAATTTATCAGTTATTTTTGGCAGCAGGAAGAACAGAGTATCTGTACACAACTTCAAACGTAGTTAGTTTTAGTTTGGTCTAATTACACTGGTCTACACCCATTTTGATTTTGGTCTAAATGTTAGATTGGTTTTGCTCAATGAGGTCAAAATTTTGATTTGTTTTTACATTTTTGTGTACATGTGTGGGCATCTATGATTTGTATCCGACAAAATTCTTTTTCTATTTCCTGAAATGAACAAACTCTGAAACCTTTACAAGTTGATACTATAAATATTTGCAGGTGAATTAAATTTAGACAAAAAGTTTACCCCCTGGTTTATGAACAACACATTAGAGTCACGTGATTTTATCAGAAAGAGATGGAGACCAGGGATCAGGGATGCTGGGATGCAGTCATGATGGCTGATTACTACTGGACTCTGAGGAGAGATAAACCTGCTGCTGATCATTCCAGGAGCTCCAAGAAGCCCAAGTTCAAGCCCTGAATATTGAGCAATGCTGATGAAACATGCAATTTACTTGTATTTACCTTTACAAATGTTTACGCTCATCAACTTGTGGATCATTTAACTTATGAAAAGGATTACAAAAGGAAATTTTTCCTCTAAAATCCAATTTCATATGAGAAATACTAAAATAAATCAATCGCTAATGTCAAAAAATGTAATCGATTTAGTGGCAAAATTGTTTGTTGGCATAAAAACCTTATCTGATACAGAAAAGCAGATGCTATTTTGGATTCAGCGTTGCAAAAATGTCCTAAATCAGTTTTTTTTAAAAATCACCTTCAAAAAAGTAGTTTTTTGTAACCCAGTGTTATATATTTAACATTTACTGAGCGTCTCCTTGGATCCAAACTAACTAAAAGAAGCTTGAAATGAATAAGAAGTCATTGATGAGGCTGCATGTTGTTAAAACGGATGGCCAGAAGAGTCTAGAGTAGAGTTTGCAAACAGCAGGTTGCATATCACAGCTCAACAACCAAATAACAGCTCATCTGAAAGCAGAACACGGAGCAGCGGGCGTCTGTTAGCAACACAATCTGTTCATAAAAGTAGTTCACTATTAAACATACATCCTGTACAGTTCAACAAAACACGTGATTCAAATGTGTTCTTAGTTTTGATGGTGTCGCTTTAGATAGATGCAGCTTTAAGTGTGTCAGACGGACATCGCTCACCTCCTTCTGTGCTTCAGGTCGTGGACTCTCTGGACGTGTCTGCTCACGGTACCAGAGTTGGTCTGGTTCAGTACTCGAGTCGGGTCAGGACAGAGTTCCCTCTGAACATGTACCACACCGCGGATGAGATCAAAGCCGCCGTCATGAAGGTAACGGTGTTCTTTGTTTCCACGCAAGGCAATAAACAGCAGAAGAATCTCAAGCTTTCGATGCACTTAAAAGTGAAGACACTAAAAAAGACAAGACAATAAATTATAGAATATATAAGATACTATTTCATACACAGACTCCACAGCCCATGCTGAGCTCTAACGTGGTGATTTATGATTTAAAACATTGCTGCTGCCCATGTGTAGGTTGACTACATGGAGAAAGGTACGATGACAGGTCTGGCCCTCAAGCACATGCTGGAGAACAGCTTCTCAGAGGCAGAAGGCGCTCGTCCTTCCAGCCGCAACATCCCACGAATCGGGCTGGTTTTCACAGACGGACGCTCCCAGGACGACATCACCGAGTACGCCAAGAAGGCCAAAGAAGCAGGTAAGACTCCACTCAACCCCAATGACATCCAAAGCTTCATTTCTTGATCCAGACGATGGAGGAGTGAGTGTCTCTGTGCGTGTTTGTGTGTGCAGGCATCACCATGTACGCTGTGGGTGTCGGGAAAGCTGTGGAAGACGAGCTTCGTGAGATTGCATCTGAGCCTGTGGAGAAACATTTCTATTACACCACTGACTTCACCGCCATCAGCACCATCGCTGAGAACCTCAAACTCAACGTCTGCCCAGGTACAACACTGAAAACACGACATGTCAGTTCTTATTTATGTGTGGCTGCTTATTACCAACTCATGGGAGCCTATTCAACGTTTCACTTTCACAAGACTGGAAGTCATTTGACTGCAGACCACAGTAAAGGTGACAAATTAAAGAAAAACAGTGAGTGCTTCTACAAAGGTGCACTGTATGGTCCACAGAACACCCAATCATGTCCTGTGGCTTGTATAGAAATGCTGAGCAGGCCTTGTTGAGGCTGATTTTGTGTCAAAATGGCGAAAGTAAAAGTTCTAGCTGGCAGGGCTTGACTCCCTGAATGGTTTGATGAGTATGAACACGATGTGAATCTTATGCGAAGGCGGTTGAAGTCACCATAATATAATATAACCCACTGATACCTTTGGGAGGTTTTGGAAAACACAGATGAGGAAATATCTTCTGGAAGAATCCTATCGATGAAGTTCCAGGGAACTGGAGAGTCAGCGCCAAGGAGCATTAGAGCTGTTCTGGTTGGACGTAGAGACCAAACGTTTTACTAAGACACTTAAGTTTTTATAAAATACGTCATCCATCGCATGTAAAGTTGATTGTCCCCTTATTTACAAATGTTTTACCAGGTGACTCTAGTTTTTTAAATAGAAAATCTGTTCTCTGTTTCTCAAATACTCAATTTAAAATCTCTTTGCCACTACATGTAGAAGCATCTGTTTTATTCATCTACAGACAATGCCTATGAGAGCTAAGGATATTGGTTATTTTAAATGCATTCAAGAATTTGCAATAAAAAAAAACTAGTGTGTAGTTTTGTTGTGGGACATGGTACAGATCTGATGTCAATGCGTCAGACTCCTCAGGCCCATGGCCACAGCCTAAGATTTGTTCATCTAGTTTTTATTCAAATCTATTTTAGTGTCATAAGAACTCAAAAAAAAATTATTATAATAATAGTTACAAAAGATTTTATTCCTCAAAAAGTAAATTCAAAAGCGGCTGACATGATGGTCAGGTCACTGTAGTGATGTCCTTTGGCGCCATCTACTGACATTTGTAGAAAATGCACTTCAATGTAATGCAAGCACAAAATACACTGTCAAAGATCTAACCCCATATAAACCATAAACCAGATTATAAAGGGCAGCAGTTTACAGTTTTAACCTTTGTGGAGGTCTATGTGGAAACACATTGAAATGAAAGTCTCACAAAATAGAATAAAAACAAAACAAAATGTTTTCTTTTCTGCTTATCAAATGATCAGAAACAACAGGAAGATGAACAGATTTTTGTCAGATTAGATAACAGACCGTTACTGTACATGGACTGATAATGCTTACTGCTGTATGTAGTCACAAATCAAAGGTCCATTCTGAGCCAAAAAAAAGTAAGAATATAGACTAATAAAGGAACTTTTCTTTACATGTCTTTCCCCCTCTGCAGAGGAGAGTCAAGGGGAGATTGAAGTGAAGGATCCGTGTGCCTGTGAGAGTCTGGTGGAGTTCCAGCAGGCCACCATGAGCAGCCTGGAGCAGCTCACACAGAAACATATCCTTTATATAAGAACACAGTGTTCTTTAACTTCAGGTAAGGACCAGGGCTGTCCTGGTGGACGAGACCAGGGGACTCAGTCTTTCTGGATTGTGACCACGTAAAAGAAAAAGTGAATGCTTGTGTTCCCTCATCACTTTCTCAGGCATAGAAGAGATTTTGTTGCACATAAAGACTAAGGAAAACGAGAACATGACATTTTTCTTTTCAGTTTTATCATCTCGAATTAGGCCTGTTACAGTTGTTACAGAATCACATGAGCAGTTATTTGAGCTGAACTGCAATCTTTTAGCACAATCAATAAAATAGTTTTCAGTCGCCTCGATTAAAAAGCTGTGTGAAACTAAAAGAAATTAAACTAGTTGTTTCCTCATTGTTTTCTTCTATTTACACCCCCTTCTCCTTCTTTGATTTACGCCACCAGCTGTTAATCACATTTCTAACATTGCATTGATACTGCATTCGATCTACTGGCATTAACATCATGAATTGAGTTGGAAAACCAAACACTACAGTACAACTGTAGGCACATTTTGGTTTTCAGCTGACTGCTAAAGGACAGGCCAGTGACTTGGGGGACTTGCACAAACGACAACTTGTGGGGCTGAAAGATGAAAACAGTGCAGAACTGCCAGAAACTGCAGTTCCTCAAACGTCCACTTGAGGCTCCAAAGGGAGTCCATCCTCATAGAACTCCATTTTAACCCCTTTACACAAAGAAATAGTGTGAAACAATGCACTCGTCATGAAAGAATATACTGATGTTGCACACCAAATTGAACAGCAGAACCTGCGCTATACGAATATATAAGCCATTTCTACATGCCCCAAGCACAACTCAAACACCAAATAAATGAATTACCACAAATGGAAATCGATATAGCGCCACCCAGTCAACCCACTTGCCACATTTCTGGCTCCAGCGCTTTGGTACTTTATGCAAAATGCCCAAACAACCTCTCAAACGAACGCAGACAGTCCACAAAGCTCTCTGAGATCAAAGCATCAGCAAGAAATAACCCAAAGAACAGCAAAACCGAAACCGCTTCATCAAACTGTAGTTGTAAAATTTCTTTTACCTTAGCTGTTTTGCCGTGAAATGTTTACTTTATCGGTAAATCCACACCAGAATCAGTTAGCACCACTTCCTGTGTTACACTGAAATCATTCCGGGCGTCTTTTGGAGGCTTCGTTAGCCGAAGGGCGCTAAGGAGTGAACACTCAGCAAGAGGCTCGTCTTCAAGATGGCGTTCTGCTGATTCTGATTGGCTAAAAGTGCTGTCAATCTCATTTTGGAGGCTATCGCTATATTCTATTGGCTCTAGCGATTCGAAGGCGGTGTCAATCACTCAAACCGACCAATCATTACGGAGATACTGCCTTACGTCACCACATGAGCTTCACAGCAGTCTGATCAGCATCAACACAGGCAGCGGTCTGGTTGAGTGATCATTCCAAAGAGATAATTATCCTGAAAGTGCTTTTTTTTTTCTTTTTATTTTAAGTGAACCTGAAAATTTTTCATTTTTGCTGTGTGCCATCTTCATTTACTTTTAACCAGTAACATATACACTGATATTTACACATCTGAGCAAATCTTACAAGTTTTCCTTTTATTATGACACAAGAATTATCCAAATAGACCTTGTGGTGCAGAGATAAACTGTTTTTATTATGGGTATGTCATTTTCAAGCAGAGGCCTGAAAAATAGCTCAAAAATGAAAAATGAAGACAACCTGAGCTTCAAAACTGCTCTTCAGGTGCCCTATGGGTGATGAAAAGGAGGGTTAATCTGTCTTTATACACAGCCTATAAATTCAGTAAAAAGGTGGCGTTCAAAGGCACTTGTGCCACCATCATGAAACTATTAAAAACATAAAATAAACAAAGATAGACAACTAAATCATTAATCTTAAGTATCTGGATGACAGTTAAACTAAAATTCCATGATCGTGATCTTTGTGGGAGCTTCAACTTACAGGTTAGAAATCCCTGAAAGCGTAGACTGTGTGTAGAAGATGGATGTGGCCCCAGTGGTTTATGAGCTACCATTCTGAAGCACTGAGTTTGGAATTGGGCCTCTTCTATACAATCTGACTTTTTCTTGCAAGCAAAAACTCGCCCCCTGCTGGCCATTAGAAAAAACATATGTTTAAGAAACTTGGTTTACTTTTTCACTCCATCTTATATCCAGTCTGTGCACTCAGCTTGCATCCAGAACCATTGCTACTTGTAATTTCCCATCCCTCTGTGCCCAAGCTCTCATTTCTTGTCATCTCTTTCCTGTGCACTGCCTAAAGGGGGAACGTTAATGCATGTATTCATGAGCAGAATTACAGCAGATACCTCGAGGCATTATTATTCCTTAATGCGCTGTCCACTGTCTGGGATGACCGCTCGGCTGGAGCAGCTGGAGAACCAGCTTCTTTCCAAGAAGTGATCTGGTCATCACGGTGAGCAACCAGGACGGCACAGAGGAGGACCAGCAGAATGAGGAAGCAGAGGGCACATCCTGACAAAATCATTGAAGGGGGAACTCAGACACCCTTTCCATCAAGGGACAAAACCAAAAAAAGTGTCTCCTCACAAAACCTTTGTAGCCTTCAGTAGCTCTGTTGCTCTTCATGCTCATAGGAGTGTAAGAACGATCAGAAAGTTTGTGATATAGAATCTAATTTGCCACATTTGTAAATTACATTATTATGTACACTTTAAAAAAAGAAGAAGAAGAAGAAAAAAACATCAACATTACCACATACAGTTCCTCAGCTATGACTGAACAAATGTGTCATTAAACAGATGGACATGAAAAGATTCCCCAGGACATGTTTTCAGGGTTTTGAATGATAATTGGTGCATAATTACAGCACACATGTGCCAGTATGTTCTGGATACATTCAAGATTTTATATAACATTTGTCCCCTCGGTGTGAGTTAAAGCACTTCATCAGTGCACAAAGAAGACTGTTGGCTATGTTTGTAAACTAGATGTAATCAATGTAGATATTATATACAAGCACTAAACATTATTCAGTGAAAATACAGTTAGCAGTTTTCATCTTTCACAGTGTTCATTCATAGTCGCGCACCGTTCGTCTGTTTCCTTTAGTGCTCTATTTATACTTGATCTGTTTTGTATGGTTTGTTAAATATGATGTATTTATAGCAGATTGATCTTCTTTTTTTATCAACAGTAGAATAGAAAATAAGAAAGTGAGAGGTGGAAGGACAAGAGTTATAAAAATGAAGAGTTATTACCACTCCCAATATTAAACTGGTTTTGCGTAGTTTTACAAAAACATCATTACTTGCTTGCCTGCAGACACCAGCTTTTAATCTCTGGCTTGGAAATGGGTTAGGATTTATTTTAAAAAGGGAATTTAAAAAGTTTCAAGCATCACTATTTTCTAAAGCTGTGGTCTGTTGTTGATAGAGGAAGATAGGAAGATATAATAGGAAGTAGAACACAGTGTTTTGAATAAATATGGCCTTTCTTTCATACAGCAGCTTCGCTCTGCACTTTCTAGATTCGACCACAGGGTGCCCTTAACATGTCTGTGTATTAGTTTACATACAGTATGAGTCACGTCTCTTGCTGTCAGTGCTTGTCAACGGGAGCAACAAGAATACTCAATTAAAATTACTTTTTTTTTACATTCATAGATAAAAATCCAGCTCAGCTGTGATCACCAGCCTTGGAAACTTTCCTGTTTGTAAATGAATACGACTGCCTCAGCTATGATAGTGTAGGATGCCTCATTTCTTGTAGTTTTATAAAAATATATATAAAAAAGACCACCACAAATTTATACCCCTTTATATTTTCGATGCCTGTACGTTTTTGTATATTTTCTAATAACTTTACATGTTTTGTATTTTTTTAATGAATCTCTGTATTAGAGCACAGAAGGCATTAAAGGAGTGAACTTTTCACCTCTGACTTTTGTCTTGTGTTTGTGAAGTGTTTTCATTTTTAACTCCCTCCAGGACTTTCATGTTGCCAGACGCAGAAGGTCTTCCTTGGGATCCACTGGACCCCAAGAAAGAATATGTGCAAATTATTTGTTGGTGTTCATTATAGACTTTTATAGTATGTTAAATACATTTTCTAATAAGTTGATGTATTTTTGGCTCCAAATGCACAACAAAAGTCCCTCTGTTTTATATATATATTTCAAATCTTCAAAAATAAAAAAAACAATATCTGCCACCTAGACCAAATGGTCTGGGGTCCAAAAGACCCCAAAAGTCCTGAACAGGGTTAACCTTACCACTTCATATTTTTACTGTTCTTCTGTCCTTGCTGTGTTTTTCGAGTATAAAGTAAATACATTTTAGAATAACACATATCAAGCGTCACAACAGCAATGCGACAGTTACTTTGAATGAAGCTTGCATTCTCTCAAGGTTCTACATTTTATCATTATAAACTGTCATTACTGTCTATTAAACCGACACAGAGATGCTGTATAGGGAAGATGGTGAGCGTGAGTGGTGGAAATAACATTGCAGGACTAGAAAACTTCAAACAACCACCAGTAGCAGTGCAAGTTTTGGGTATTCAATACAGTGAAATGAATAATTCGATCAAGTTTTATGTAGCATGTTGCAACACAAGCCTAACTTCAAGTGTTCAAAGCAATATTCTGCTCAAAAACACCTTCAACAGGCAAAAGATTTGGTGCATTGCTACTGTTCAGTCCCTTCAAACTTGAAGATGGCAGTTATTGACCAAGACACTTGGCTCCAGCAGTGGGGAGTCCTGGTTAAATCAGCTCGTCCTGTTTTTTATTGCATCAGTATGAAACACACTGTTAATGTAAAAAAAATATTGCATAGGGTCGGTGTGTCAAATATCTAAATCTATGAGAGAAGAGTCTGAGCTTTTAGAAACGGCCTATACAGAGGGTTGAAGAGTTCCTGGGTGATCAGCTATAGGTTAACCATAGACTGTATAAAAGATGGACGATGTTACTAGTAATCTGAATTAACAAAATGAATTAAAATCTATTAAAAACTGCTACGAAAACCACATTTATAAGTATAGTTTCATAGTGTACAACAAAGACTGGGAAACTACTTCATTACCTGCGTGATAGACTGTTATTGTTAATTTTCTATATTAATTGGGAGAGAAAAGGACACGAGTCTCACACATGCTCTGGTTTGTTAGGATCTGATCACCTCAACTAAAAGCCACTAACTTTTCTCAACTTTTCTCAGTCGTACGATGATGCAACTTTGCAAACTTCACTGTCTGAAGTTTCATTTTCACAGCAACAAGCACCCCAGTGACAACGGTTTGCTCTCCATGGATAGACAGCAGCAGGTTTTGTTTTTTAAATGGCCTGCAGAAATGCATGTAAGGACCGACGCTGGTTCCCTGTGGGCTGCTGTGTGCTGCGTGTAAAGAGCAGCTCCTCGGGGATCACGTACTGCTCTCAGACACACAGCATCATTACCGACACTGACCTTCAACACGTTTTCTCAGTAGACGGTGATGCAAGACATGTTTGTTCCACAAGTTTCTCTGAACACACGTAACCTAGTAAAAGAAAAGTTTTACTGAAACTAATGACGTTTGCTGAATAAACACTTTTTTAAAATTATTATTCTTGATGAATTTGTTCTGTAAAATGTAAGAAACAGTGACAAGTTCCCATTAACTCTCTGAAGATCACATCAATGCATAATTTATCAGATTTAATTTGTTCATTTCCCACATTACACAGCTTCCTGATTCCCAGGTTGACATTTCAGTTATGTCTGCAAATAACTCCTGTTTAAAAAAAAATTGTGCCTTAGTATTATTATACTATATTTTCCTTATGATTAACTGAATAATACCATCAGTTCAAAACACTTTCAGTTGACAGAGTTAAAGCAAAAAGGCAGTGAATTCTGACATTAAAGAGGCTAAGAGAAGAAAATATTGGCAAAAACATTAATTTAAAGATGAATCAATCATAAAGACAGTTGCCCAAGAGTTGCAGGGAACACAATTAATTAAAGATTAAGAATCGGAAATAAACATACAAAGTCATCTTTTAACTACTTCTGTTAATTTCTCTGGAACATTTTTAAAATCGAAATGGTCAAAAAAAAAAAATAGACAAATACAGAGATCATTGTCAGATAAAACAGACTCTACTTGGCTCGATCGTGCTCGCTGTTGTGAACAGTCAGCTACCAAAGGCCCACCAAAAAAAAAAAAACACACCTAAGAAGCTCAAACAAGATTTTTCCTTTAACAAAAAACCCCAAAACTGTATTAAAAACCTTAAGACTTACATGTGTTTGACGGCTTTTGGCTGCTCTCAACCTTCTTAATTTGTCATATTTATTCTGTATAAATTGATCTCACAAGTTGCTCTCCTGTTTAACATCTTATCCTACTTTAATTTGTTTTTAAACCTTGATTTGATCCTGTCTCGATGATTTTATCTCTTCCTGTCTGATACCATGTGCTGCACTTTGGTCACCTCAGGTTGTTTTAAAGGCGCCATTTAAACACAACTGATTTGATTTGAAGGTGCTGCAAAATTCAGACTAATAGTCAATCAGTAAACTCATATTTCAATTCCAAGTTTGTGATTTATGAATATGGATGTTGATGTGAACGTAAATTTGACAGATTGAGGAAGAACGCGGAGAACTGATGGTGCTCAAAGAAAAGTTTTAATCATCACGAGCGAACTCTGAAGTGGTTTTCATTAAGTGGTTTCATACTAAAAGCTAATCAGAGCACAAACCAGTCACACAAGTGAGCAACTAAACTGATCTCCCTGTGGAGTCGTCCGCAGAGCCTGAAGACAATATTATCATCGTTAGCGTCGTTAATCAGCTGCTCTCCACTGAGCATACAGCAACGTGTTTGTCATTTAAAGTTAATTATCATCACAGACTCTAGTGTCTTGCAAATTGCAGATTCTTCTAATGGCAGTGGTAAGAAAGTCCCTCAGAAGACACGTCTAATAGATCCCTTTGATGCTGCGTGTGCTCTGCAGTCCGGATGCTCCACAACAAGGTGCCCCAGTGTGAGTGACTTTTACAGACGGAGCCTAATGAGGCTGACGAGGCCTCCTGATTACACAGAGGACGACTGGAAATGTCAGGATGTCCCGGAAGAGACACAAAGTCTTACTCAGAGTGAGTTTACTCAAACAAGTGCGATATTGTAGGAAGGCTGAAGTTAAAAAAAAAAAAGAGAGAGAAAAGAATGTCAAAGCAGAAGGACGATGATGTTTGGTCAGAACTAAATATTTCCAGACGACTGTTTTGGTCACAAAATGTAAAGTATGACTTGAGAAATACTAGAACATTTTTAATAGGCCTTCTGACAGCAGTCATGTATAAATTTAACAATGAAACTATTTTTCTTTGCAGTGAAACTCCAGAATTAGCACATCAGTAACCGATCTGGCAGAATTAGTCGGTGGTGGCCAGTTCTGTACTGTCTGTCTTGTTTGGTTTCCTGTCTTTACTTCGCGAGCTGGCTGCTTCCACTCGAATACATTTTCTTCCTAACACTCGTAACTCCTGCTACATTTGCAACAGGGGTGTCCAATCCTGGTCCTCGAGGGCCACAATCCTGCATGTTTTAGATGTTTCCCTCTTCCAACACACCTGATTCACATGATCAGGATCGTTATCAGGCTTCTGCAGAGCTTGATGATGAGCTGATTTACACCTTCCATCTATAGTACTGCTGTGTTTGAGGACCCCCAAGATAAAGAGTTTTAGAATTTCTGCTGGCCTTGTTTTAGTTTGAAAACTCCAAAGTTGTATGTTAGTCTGGAAAACTGGCAAACTTTTGGAAATGAAGAGGCAGGCACCTACAGTCGTCCTCAGATGTATTCCTACCCTTCCATTAAAGAAAAGGCAAAATTCACAAAAGCCACTCAAATAACCAGAAACTGAAAAAGTAACAATAGATAAAAATGTGCTAAATTATAATTTAGTGAAATAAGATATTGCTTTTGAATTGTGGTTGAAAATAACAATTTAAAAAAAAAACAAAGGTGTTCTGGCCCACTGCTCATCAGCAAAGTGCTCTAATTTGTCTGGGAGTTTTTTTGTTTTTTTTTAATTATTCTTTTCAACCACAATTCAAAAACAATGCCTTATTTTACTAAAGTATAATTTAGCAAATTTTTATTTATTATTACTTTTTTCAGTTTCTAGTTATTTGAGTGACTATTGTGAATTTTGCTTTTCTTTAATGGAAGGGTATGAATACATCTGAGGACGACTCTAAGTGGAAGGAAAAGCTCAAGACCCTTGTCGAGGGCCGTCAGGGCATAAAACACGATACACTGGCCAGAGAACAATAAAGTGTGTCCAAACACATAGTGTGTTAAATGTAGAATACCAAAAACAGTCAGATTTCCTGCTACATCCACTTACATTTTGCAGTTTGCATGCTTTTCTGGCTTTTCATTGTCCTCTGTACATCTACTAACATCACAGTGTCTGCACAAGTTTAAACAAGCTTGAGTCCCTGAGATCTCACACAGAGATGACAGCTCGTTTCACACGACAGACTGCGACGGTTAAAGTTTAAAGTACGATATGATGACAAAGCAGTCTGTCCCAGTTGTATGGAGACTGTATGAAATCACTTTGTGAGCTCAAGTATGCCCCAATACATGGTGTGTTAAATGCAATATTAAAGAAACACCACATCGTTAGAGTTTTTTTTGTTGTTCTAACATTCTGAGAAAGCTCTGCAAAGATTTTTTTAACATTAGATTAAAATATTATTAGAACTTGTAGGTAGTTTTAGCCAATGCTGTGGAAACATTCCTGCTTGCTGGGCAGGATATCTGACTAAAAGTGGATGGATTTTGTAATGAACATGTTTTTTTTTTTAGGCCTTTCTGACCTTCCATAGACTTCAGTATCTTCTAAGTTGCACTATGTGCTAAAAGTAAAAAGACAAAGAAAACTATTTGGAAAAGTGGAGTCAGTGTTTTTCCAAGTGACAGTTTTATCTCATAGGCTATTGAGTGCTGTAATCGCGTCTACAGTAAGTTATTGTTTAAGTGAATTATGACCGTATGCCTATAAAATTACAATAAAATACTAGAGATCTGCCAGTATTGTTACACTGCACTGTTAACCCTGCCCAGAACTTTCATGCTGCCATACGTAGAAGGTCTTTCGGGGTCCATTGGACACCAAGAAAGAATATGTGCAGAATGTTTGTTGGTATTCATTATAGACTTTTATACTGTGTTAAATACATTTTCTGATAAGTTGAAATAGTTTTGGTTCCAGATGCATGACACATGTCCCTCTTTTTATATATTTTTTAAAAATCTACCCGTTAAAAAACAATACCTGTCACCTAAACCACATGGCCTGTGGTCCAAAAGACCCCAAAAGTCCTGAATAGGGTTAAATGCACAAATACATGTAGGTACACGCAGTATACACACACTCCTAAATCCTGGGGGAATCCTTGAACCATGAGCCAAACTGCATAAAAAGCCTGACACGTTCTTAGCGCCGTGTTCTAAATGCATCATCTAAGGTGAGTACTGAACAGTCACGTGACCTGAGACAAGTAGAAACGGTTTCCTGAAGTGTGGAACCGTACTGCTTCATCAGGTCATTCTTGTTGTTTTAATGGCTTCAAAATGTTCTGTCGTGGTTGCAGGATGTGTTTTATTAGTGAATTTTCTTGTTATATGTTTAATTCTTTTTTTTTTTTTCTATTGCCAGACTTCTAAATGATCTCGTTCAGAGTCTCCTGGACGAGATCATTCTACATATATGATGAATAGCATAAAAATAAGGCTGTTTAAATCATCTTATGATAATGATATTCCAAACATTGATCATCTATTTATATGAATAACGTCCTGACAAATGTAAAAATGACTAAATGAGCTTATTTGTTCATTCTGTTCCAACATGTTTGCTGCTACATTTTAAATGCATTCACTTCAATTCCAAACAACAAGATGCTGATTTATTTTTATATTTCCAGTTGATGCCCTGATCTGGATCCTGAGGTGAGCTCTTCTTCAAATGGTCACACTGTTCAGCACCTGGTAGTTCTGAGTCTCTTATTGAAAACGTATAGATATTGTATGTGTGAACTGTCAGACTGTAAGCTGATGCAGTTTGAAGTGTTTCTCTCACATTACCACACACAACAATGAGATGTGAAGCCATGCTCCAGTGCAGTCGAACAGTCTGTGGTGTGCCTTTTGAAACACGTTTTATCAGTTAACTTTGTTTTGTTGCTGTAACTGAATGGGAGACATGGTTGTATTTTAGGTCAATAACACATGACTACATACGTGTCTTCTCCTGTGGTCGCTTTCCAGCCTTCGAGACATGAATGTGTCATCTGCCAATGTGACCGTGGTGATAGAGTATCGGGATTCCTACACCAAAGCCGTGACCAAGAATGTGATCGTTGTGGTTCTCGGCCTCTCCATAAACTACATCAATGCAGCGCTCATTCAAACCTTTTGCAAACACCAGGTCTGACAGTTCTTTATTTGCATGAAACAAATACATTTATTACTGAAATTAGCTAGAAATGAATGTGCACATGAATAATTCTGTATGTTAAATATATTAAAAAAAAGCAGATTTACAGATTGTATCTCTCATTTTAGACTGCTGATGGGCGGAAGTGTTACAGAGTTGGTTCATTATCCAACACAACAGACTAATAACTGCACTTCCCGCCCTTGTTTTTTCTTTTTTTCCGCCAACCCTCCAGATCTTCTACATGAATCCACGGTACATCCTTTTTGTCCACCTGGTGGTCAACGATATGATCCAAGTGACGCTGACCATCTCATTGTTCGTAATCAGCTACGTCCTCTACAAAATAAATGTCTCTGTGTGCTGCGCCATCATCCTGCTGGCGCTCTTCACCACTGAGAACACCCCTCTGAACCTGGCTTGCATGGCCGTGGAGTGCTACATCGCCATCTGCGTCCCCCTTCGCCACAGTCAGATCTGCACCGTCAGAAGAGTGCTCATCCTGATCGGTTTAATTTGGGCGACCACCGTCTTGTCCGTCCTCCCCGACCTTTTCGTCACCTTGGCCACAGAGCCGCTGGAGTACTTCAGCTCCCGTGTGTTTTGCCTCAGGGAAACTGCTTTTCCAAACCCCCACATCATCAAGAAGAGGGACATTACATATGTTGTGTATCTGGTCATCGTTTGGTTTGTCATCTTTTACACATACATCAGAATTGTGTTCACTGCAAAAACAGCAAGCAAATACGCTAAGAAAGCCCGAAACACAATCCTCCTCCACGGATTTCAGGTGTTGTTGTGTATGGCAACGTATACGGTACCGTTTTTGTTAACGGCCCTGCAGCAGTGGTTCCCCAAGAACTTTCCAGATTCCCTATTCGCTTGTTATATTATCTTCCAAGTCCTGCCTCGATCCATCAGCCCAATCGTCTATGGAGTAAGAGACAAAACTTTCAGGAAGTACCTGAAAAGGCACATGTTATGTCAAGTAAGGCCACAGGAATTTTGACATTAGAAGCTAAGTATTACATCTTTTTTGCCTCACTTGTTAAATTCTATTTATTTTTGTATTATTATTATCATTATTTTTTTCTCTCATTTTGAGGAGAAATTCTGGCAAATAAATAGTTTAACTCTGTTTCACTAAATTTCAACACTTACAATAATGCATCTGTAGCGCTACACTGTACCCGGTAGCAATTATTAAAGGCTTAATTTTTTTTCCCATTATTTTATTTTATTTATTACTATTGTTATTATTATTTTTAACAGGATTTATAAACTTTAACCTCGAGACCCGAACTCTTGTTTGAGCATTTTTTTTATTTCTCTTTGCTATTTGATCTAATAAAATAGCAAACAGAATAAAAAATATAAAGAAAATATAATATTTATTTTAAAAAATATATAAAAAAAAAATAAAAAATAAAAATAAATAACAATAAATAAAATAATAAAAATTAAATAATTAAAAATAAAAAAAATAGCTAATGTGGTAATATAACCCAAAATGTGATGTCCACGCTAGGTCTTAAGAGGTTAAATAAAAGGTGCAAAGTATGAAGACACTCTTTACTGCCATTTCTCTTGTCCCCCACAACTAGATGATCCCCGAGCTTGTCCAGTCTGAGTTTCATTTAGTTTGTAGGTAGACACTAAATGTAATTGACCTAAATCTTTGTGATATCCTGCACATCACTGGCCATCTGGATGTGAGGTGAGTCTTTTAGAATGAGCAGCTGCCTCAGTTCATCAGGTTCATTTACTCACTGGAGCTACTTTTGCAAACCCTAAAATGTTTCAGCCATGAACGAAGCACACTAACTGCTCCATTATCGGATGTAACTGTTGTAAGCTCAGAAGTTAAAGTTAGGCAAAGAGGCCTCCAGGCATGCACAAGTTTAAACACTCTCTTTTCTTTGCTTTTCTTTTGCTCTTAAAAATACAGAAACACCAGCACCTTAGCACATACTGCAGACTATCAGAAGTCCACAAAAAACTTGTGGTACAACACTCACATTTGCTCTTAAACTTGTATGAAACACTGAATGTCTGCTTGCTCTCAAAACACAATCATACTGACAATGTTCTGCATATTCATGTTCTGGCTGGACCACCTGTGGCTACAGACATTAGCAAATTTCCAGGTGATGCATTGTGTGCTCTTACATTTAACTTGCAAACTCTGGTATAAATGTCTTTTTTAAATTAAAAATTAATGTGGAATCGGTGTGTAAATTCTAAACTATGTCAGACTGTAAAAAAAAAACAAAAAATTGTAAAAGTAATGGCAGCAAAGTTTCCAGAAGGATACCGTAAAATTACAGTAAATAACTGTTTTGCAAAATTACATACTATAAACTGTAAAAATACAAAGCGGATTTTACAGTCAAAATTAATTAAAATACATTATATTCAAGTTGATAAATGTTCGATATACTATAAATTAACAGACATATTATATTTAAAAAGCAAAGTATGATATATTTTGGGTAAATCTCTGTAGATTTACTGTACTCAAAAATCTGTTAAAAAAAAAAAAAAAAGAAAAGAAAAAATATTGGCAGCAAAGTTTCCAGACAGGTACCGTAACATTACAGTAGATAACTTTTGTAGAATTACATACTATAAATTGTAAAAACACAAAGTTGATTTTGTCATCAAAATGAATTAAATTATAGAATATTGAAGTTGAAGTTGATATATTGCCAATATGCTGTAAAATAAAAGACTTATTATGTCAAAACACGTAAAGATGTGATACTACTCAGATGGATTTCTGTAATTTTACGCTATTCATTATGTACTTTACAAAACAGCAGAGTCTATCTACAGTAATTTCTTGTTAAAAAAGTGTTTTCCTTGTACAATTACAAAGTTCACAAAAACAAAAAACGCACCAGATTTATTAAAACAAAGATAAAAATCTGATAGCTTACAGTATTAATCTATCATTTTAGAGAACTGGGCTGCAAGGTGGTTCGTTGGTGAGCACTGTCGCTAGAAGATCCCCGGTTCACATCCCACGATCTTTCTGCATAGAGTTTGCATGTTCTCCCCGTGCAGCGCGGGTTCCCTCTGGTTTCTACGGCTTCCTCCCACACAGTCCAAAAACAATAATTGAACCAGTAAGAGAGATCATATTTCTCCTGTGCTAGCTTCTATTCATTGGCTCCCTGTAAAATACAGAATATAACAAGTTCTATCCTATTATAAAGATCTTATTGGACCATATTATCCTCAGTGAGCACTTCCCTCTCAGACTGCAGGTCTGCTTGTGGTTTCCAGAGTTTCCAGAAGTAGAATGGGAGGCAGAGCCTTCAGTTATCAGCTCCTCTGTTATGGAATCAGCTCCCAGTTTGGGTTCTGATTAGTCTTAAAACATTCCTCTAAAGCTCATAGGTAGAGCTGCTCAGGATCATCTGAACTGTCCTTCAGTTATGCTGCTATAGCTTCAGACTGCTGGAGAATGAGCCTGGTTCTGTCAGATTGCGGTGGTCCATGAACACGCTCAGTGGTAGATTTTGGTTCGCAGCAGAAAGTAAACTCTGTTCCAGTCTAGTCAAGTCAGTACCCTTCAACATAAAGAGAGGCATTCACTATTAGTGTGATACCTTTCCAGCTCATTGCTCTCTGTGTCACAAGCTAGTATGATGTGAGATCCCTGCTAAGTACAGACTTCCCAGTCAACTACGCGAGTGGTGAGGACACTTTCCTCTGGCTGTGTGGGCGTCTCTGAAAGAGCCAGCTGTTGCAGCTCTGTTTCCTAATGCCAGTGTATGGTTCATGGACCTAGCGCACTCAATGGGACCCTTTCCAAATGCAGACCTTCCAGTCCACGAACAGCAGGCATGAGAACATTACTCCAGCTGAGCCAGCACCTAAATGCTCCTGGAGCATGTTGCTTGCGGTAGCCAGCTAATGCTCTTATCAGTAGTCCATGACAAGTACAGACTGGGACAGCTGACAGAGGACGTCTATCCCCTCTCTCTGCTGGTCTACATGAGCTCAGAGGAGTCATGCCACTGTCATGTGGCTCTCCACTTACAATATATGCGAGGCTTGTTTGAACTTCTGAGCTTGGTTCTGGACTCTAGGAGGGAAACTAATTTTGTGGCTCCAGAAATGGGCAGACATTCTAATCCTGCCATAGTCTCTTCCTGCTACAGTTTTAGGCCAAATAGGGTCTCTGTCTTTGTTCAAGGCCTTAATGGCAGCTATGAAGCAAAACAGCTTCCTCCTCCTCCTGTGCATACAGCCTGTCTAGTGATTACTGCTGAACTGAAAGGGTTTCTCTAGACCATGGTGGTGGTTCTTGGGGGATTTCCTACTTGTGCTGGTGGAGAGATTCAGTCAACACAGACCAAACTAGAGCGCTCTAGGAGCTGTGGCCATTTGCTGGCTGGTCTTCACAGATGCCTCCACAGGAGGCCGAAGCATGGTCTACACCAGGGGTATTCAATTAAAAGTCACTGAGGTCCAGTTATTAAAATTACCTCCAAGTAGAAGGTCCAAATCCATATATATGAAATATATAACTGGGTGAAAAGATAGTCTCTTTACTCAGAGGACCAAGATTACAGTGTAACAGCCGGAACACCTGACCTGTGGGACAGCTCTCCTGGTATGCAGGTGTCAGAAAACACTGAATAAATGTAAAAACCCCAAAACAGAGACGAGTAGGGATAAGTTGTTCAGAGGTAATCTGATTAGATTTCAGCAGTCAAGTTGGATTTTTGACATTTATCAAAGTTTGGTACCTGTGATTTACAAAAATCAGGATTACCCTGATCCCAGCAGAGTGCTGAAATTAGGAACAAAATCTAATAAAACTTTAAAACTGGTAAAATAAATAAAGACATTTAAAAAAAAAAGCATAATGTAGTATTCATAAGTTTATTTATATTTTGCTCTTGATTTGTTTACCATTACAATGAAAAGTAGATAAAGAAGGTCCCCAGCCTTTTAGCACAGTAAAGTTAAAAAAAAAAGAAAAAAAAGAAAAGAAAAGATTTTGGCCCCATGAAATAACCTCCTAAAAAGCTGTCAACATCAAACAAATTTAACTTTAATTTAAATTTATTGTTTTGTATATTTCATTTTATCAACGTATATTGATTGATTTTTTAGGATTTAAAACAAATGTTCAAAATATCCACAATATTAAATTATTATCAGTAAATTAATGCTAAATGCCATCTCAAGCACACACACAGGCACACCTACACACACACACACACACAGGCACACTTACACACACACCTACACACACACACAGGCACACCTACACACACCTACACACACCTACATACACACCTACACACACACACACACACACACACACACCTACACACACACCTACACACACATACACACAGGCACACCTACACACACACACCTACACACACACAGGCACACCTACACACACACC